TTGTGCTGGAAACCTGGTTTTGGGGGAACCTCAGGAGCAGCGTGGGGCTCCTTGGGTTTTAGCAGGCTGGCTTTGCGTAGGGGAAAAGGCAGGGTGTGGAGCAGCCGGGTTTGAAACCCACTTGTCCTGTTTTCCTCCTTGTGAGAAGCATTTCTTCGGGCAGCACTTCCCTTGCTCTGAGGGATTTCTGTCTAAAACGCTGTGTCTGTGATGTAGATCTCTTGCAGATATGGACGGGCTGTTGCTCTGAGCACTGGGGCGGGGAGAGGCAGGACTTCCTCGCTATCTCTGCTCTGAAATCTGGGCTGATGGGTTTAATTCAACTTCCCCTGTGCTCCGACAGAGCCGGCAAACCTCTTCCCGTGCTGTTGGAGGCCGGTAGTGGCTTCAAGTCTTGCCGTGCTGGCGCTTAGCTCAGGATCCCCGATAGTCGTCTGGATTCCGGGGAGCGTGCGCGGTGCTCTCCGAGACCAGGATCGCTGGTAAAACAGGTTATAGCGGATGGTCCTCTCTCCTGTTGGTAATGATTTGCCTGCTTGTCTTCTGGCAGCTCGTAAAGCAAAATCAAACCAGAATTAACCAAAAACCTCTCTACTGCTGCCGAACCAAGAGGAGGACATGGGACAGGGCTGTTCAGGGGAGCTCAAGGAGCGCTGGCCAGGATGCAGGGTGTTGGTTTGGGATCCAGAAAGCCGCAGCTGGGTGCTGCCTTCACCACGGACATGCCATCGGAACTGGGGGAGCTGGTGCGAGCTGGGGCCTGTGGTCAAACTGCTGCAGGCTGGGAGAGCACCCGCTTGCGCTGGGAGCATCCCGACTGCAAAGCAAAATCCCCTTTTGGCACAGCTCAAGCTGACCACGTCTGATGGCACAAGTGTCACCTCGGGTGAAGGGGACCCATGCGGCTGGGCGCTGCGGCACGGGGGAGCTCGGCTTCTTCCAGCCCGGTACCTCCGCTCGGGTGTCGGAGCATTTAGCTTCTCTCTGCCTCAGTTCCCTTCCTGGAAATCACGGATAATAGAGGGTTTTGTATGCGAAAGCCTCCGTGTTTCCATGGAGACTAGGCTTCGCTTGCTTGGGCATCTGATGTGGGATTCTGGCTTTTCTCTTAAATCTTGATGTTCTTATTTAAGAACTTTTTTTTTTTTTAGATGTTCTCCGTTATCTCGGTGTTATCCTGGAGGTGCTGTGCTCTCGGACATCACAAACACTCGCGCTCCTCCTCCCCTGCAGCCCCGCGTGGCTGTTCCCCTTCCTGGGTTGCAGTTTGATTTCTTCTCCTGTCCCAGATGAAGCAGAAAATTGTAAAGACGCGCTCTTTAAACCGCACCAGGCATGTCTGGTATTGAATATTCCCTTTCAGTGCTGCTTAAAACAGCATCGGTGATTCACACAGGTCTGCTGAGGCTGGTTCTTGTTGTTGAAGCCTTAATGAAGTCAAGCTAAGAAGCTTGGCAGGGAAAGTGTCCTGCCAGTTCTCTCACCTTCCGCTTTCCTTCCCCATCCCTCCTTCGCTCGCAAGCGGCTTGGGTTTTCTGATCCGTGCGCCGTTAACGCGGCTGTTTCCCCTGAAGCTGCCGTTCTCCTCTCGACGATCCCGCAGGAGCACGGGGAGATGTTGCCCCTTGCAGTGGAGGAGATGAGGGGGCTTTGATTTTAACACAGCAGTGCGATACCAGGCTCAAAAGTGCAGGGACTCTCCCCCCTCGCCCTGGGGTCCAGCAGGGCCAGCGGAGTTGAGGATGAAGATCGCGGCCCTGTTTATTCTGTATTTGCAGGAAAAAGGCTCCTGCGTGGCTCTGAAGGTGGTGGGCTGAGCTGGGGTGGTGTTCCCAGGTGGGGAGGAGCGTTGGCACCACAGCGTTTTGGAGAGCCTGGATCGGGCACCCACCTTGCGTCCCTGCCTGGAAGGAGATGCCGGTGCCCAGGGGTCAGCAATGGGGACCCGTTGAGCCCTGCCGCCGCTGGGGCACGGCACGGTGACAAATCCTGCTGCCTGGCACGTTTGGAGGGTTTCCCATCAGCGTGAGGACACAGACCTGGCTTCAGTAGTTTTTTTTCCTGGTGCAAAGCAGTTGGGTTTCGAGCCTGGGTTTTGTCTCCAGTTAGGCTGACGTATCCCAGGGAAGGGCCTGTGCTCCCCGCAGCCTGGGGATGCTTCAGACACGCAGCTGCCTTCTGCCTGCTTTCTCCTCCACCATCAACCGCAGCTCACTTTTCCCAAGAGCTGGTGGATTTATGGTGTTGTTGCGTCTTGGCTCTGGAGCACGAAGTCTCTTTGCGAAAATATCCAAATGCAGTTTGGCAGGAGGCCTGTGTCCCCGTGCCAGCGAGCTGTGGGTCCCTGCTCCCCGTCTTGGCTGGGCTGAGCGGGGCTGGTGCGAGGGGAAGGCTTTGTGCAGAAAATCGTACCCTCCGCCGAAGCGGCTTCGTGTTTTCTTCATCGGAGGAGAGCCCAGGCAGGCTTTTTCTCTTTTATTCCTGCCTTTGATGCCGGCTTGCCTGGTGACGTTGGTGGGGTTTGGGTTCCTGTCCCTGGCTGGACAATTACAAAGATTTGAAATAGCATGTGATGGGGTTTTTTTGGTTTGTTTTGTTACTTAAGTCGCTGGCAGAAATCCTCACCCTTTTGTTTGTGAGCATCATCTGATAAGGGATGCTGCTGAGCTGGAGGCGTGAGTGCCAGCTCTGACGCTGAACAGGCTGGGCAGGAGCTTGCACCCTTGAGCAGGACCTTGGCTGCTCCCAGGCAAGCCCACGTCCCTAAACCCACGCCTGAGCTCAGCGATGGGGGAGGCGCGGGGACACGGTCACTTCTGCTGGCTGCTGCAGGGCAGCGACTTCCAGCTCCCCCACCCAGTGGGGCCGAGGGGTTTCTCTGTGTAAAAGGGTGTCGGAATAAATGGCTTTTCCTTCCCTAGCACGGGAAGGCGGCTGGCGCAGCCCAGCAGTTTGCTCCTTCAGCCGGTGAGGCTGGGGGGGTTTAAAGCTTTGTCATCACCTTCCCCCGGAGCCCGTGTACAGCGGAGCCGGTGGGAGCTCCCTTGCTGACTTCGGTGGTGACAGGATCTGGAGGCTGAGCAAGTGGCAGGCCGCTCTTTTCCATGGGGAAATGATGACATAAGATGACAATATAATTCTGCAAAGCCTTTCCCTGTTGCTTGTGTTTCCATGTTGGGGTGTGTGGTTGTTTTTTAAAGGAGGTGGCATTTGAAATATGAAGTTTGACAGCCGTGGTTAAGCCTGACATGACAACCTGCTTTCTTCTTACTCATAGCGAGCTGAGATCTGCACGGTCCCGCGGGGACTGGTGTCTACGGCAATAGGCATCTCGTTCCTTTGTTAAAAGTGACTTCAAATGTAATAGTTCGTTATGCACGGCTCTTCTGCGGGCGACCACGCGTGCCGTGGGAGCAAGCTGAGCAGCATCTCTTCTGAGCATCTTGCAAACGGGACTTTGTGGGGTGCTCGGGGGGGGTTGCTGGATGGAGAGCTAGGGTCACAGCATCCCTCCCGCTGCCGTCTCCGGGCTCGCCTTGCTGGTTCCTGCTGCATCCTGATCCCGCACCCCTTCCTTCGTTGGGAGCTCCCCTTTGATGCGCTCCCCTGCTCACAGCCAGGGCTGGGAGAGAGCTCGGGGCATCGCCTTGTCCACCCCAAGGCAACGCAGACCCGTGCCAGGGCAGTGGGTGCCACCGCTTCTCCACCCTTGCTGGCACAGAGCAGCTCCCAAAGCCTAGCACAGGTCTCGGTGTGATTTTTTTTTTTTAAGCTCATCTGTGCTTGCCTTGCTGACTTGCTTCCTCCCGATGTGGGATAGGACTGGTCCCCAGAGCTGGTCAGAGCTCGGCTCCCATGGAGCTGAACGGCTGCAGGGAGAGAAACCGGAGCCAAGGCTGCTGCTGAGGGCATTGCACTGGGCTGATGACTTTTTAATTAACCCAGTACATCGGGCAGCAGAGGAGGGGAGGAGATAGGGTGATAAAATGCATGTTAATGTTGTGTTCTTCAGCATAAGCTTGTGAAGCTGGTGCCTTGCTTGGCTTTCTGTTCTCTATACTGGGTGACGCCCTGAGCAGCCAGCCCTGAGCGGGGCTGGACTGGAGATCCCCACGAGTACCAAATGCCGCTTTAATGTGGTCTTTTGGGTAGCTGTTCCTTCTCCCTCCCTGTTAAGCAGCAAAGAAGGGGAAAAAAAAGCACTCTTACTGGAAAGGTTTATTTTCCTGGTGCAAACCGCGTTGGTGAAACACCCCAGCAGGATTTCGGCAGCGCTGCTCCATGCTGGGAGCCGGCACGTTGCTGTTCGGGGTGGGAACTTGTTCTCCTCCCAGCCTGGGTGCTCTGGCTCGGATGCAGGGACAGGAGCAGCCCCAGCCTCCGGCCCTGTGG